CGGGAGTGGGTGATGCAGTTGCGGTTGACATTGCAGCCGTAAGTGTGAACTCTGTACGACCAGCTGGCGGGCTGGCAAGTCAGGCAGGATTTTTGTGTTACTTATCATCACAGCCTGTTTGCCTCTCCCTGAGGCCATCTCTCAGGCCTCACCTCACCCAAGCTGGGCTGCTCTTGGATGATGTTTTCTGGGGTGATCTGGGTCTGGCTGCAGCCAAGGCTGGTCCTTCTTGAGCTGGGAGAGAGAGACACACACACAGAACTAGTCCAGGTCCAGGCTGGGCCACACGAGCCTGGCTGCCAACTTTGTGTGTGACTCAGAGGGTGGGGCTGGCCTGGAGATGCTGACCAGGGAGGAAGCAAAAGCTGGGGGAGGAGCGGTCACATCTGCCCTCTGCCAGGCCCCGAACTGGCTGCACGCAGATCCTCATGTCACCACTGTGGCATGTCACCATCCGTCTCCCTCAGCTCGGACGTCACAGGGGGCTCAAGGCGAGGCCCCCACCTGCTGCACTCCCCCTCACCCATTACCCCAGCTCCTTGGGATTCTGTCCCTTGAGAGGTGTGGGCCTCTGTTCCCGCCTCTGAAAGATGGAGCTGGTACCCAGTCCCAGAGCTGTGACTATCCAGTACTGTGGGTACACAGGGTCTGCAAAGGGCCTCCATAAGCAGGTGATGTCCCCTGATGACAGATTAATCAGCGCCTTAGGCGGCCCCCTCAGCCCCTGCTGGCTCCTTCCCCTGTCCATCCCAGCCCTTGATGCCGTCTACCCTCCTGCCCCGGCAAGTGTGGAAACAGCCACGCTGGGGCAGCTGCGTCAAAGAGCAGGTTCCTTCTAAGGATCCAGGCAACCTTGGAGTCGGGCGCCTGGCTCCGCTCTTGGCTCTGCACTTTGCCATGTGTCGTTGGATGCGTCGCTTCCCCTTTCTGAGCTCAGTCTCCGCTGTCTGTTTAGTGAAGTGGGCAGAAAAGAGATGGCTGGGTGGGGGTGTTAGATGGTGCTCCTTGCAGGAAACCAGAAGCCACTGGAGGATGTCAGAAGTCAAGTCCAACATTCAGGGCATGCTCGCTGTGTGCTGGGCTCAGATCCCTGAGTTTTGCCTGCACTGACCGAACGGAGCCTTTCTCAGCCCAGCCCCGTGAGGCGTGTGTGAAGTGTGAAGTGAAATGAAAGTCGCTCAGTCGTGTCCGACTCTTTGTGACCCCATGGTCACATGGAGCCTGTAACCCACCAGGCTCCTCTGTCCATGGGATTCTCCAGGCCAGAATACTGGAGTGGGTAGCCTTTCCCTTCTCCAGGGGATCTTCCTAGCCCAGGGATCGAACTCAGGTCTCCCACATTGCAGGTGGACTCTTTACCAGCTGAGCCACAAGGGGAGCCCATGAGGTGGGCACCGCCTTATCCCCAGGTGATGATGAAGCTTCACTGAGACAGAAGCTGCTGGAGGATTTGGTTCAGAGGATCTGGGGCTTAGACAGTCATTGGAAAGGTGATGGGGACTGTGCCCTCAGGCACATCCATCCTGATGCTGAAGGCTGGAGCCCGGAGAGCAGGAAGCTACAAGAAGCCAGCACAGGGATTCCTGGTGCTCCTGTGATTAAGACTCCACCTGCCAGTGCAGGGAATACGGGTTTGATCCCTGCTCCCAGAGGATCCCACATACCGAGGGGCAGCTAAGCCCATGCACAGAACTCCTGAGCCTGCTGCCTGGAGCCCCTGCCCTGCAACAAAAGAAGCCACACAAAGGGAAACGTGTGCACCACAACAAAAAGTAACCCCTGCTCGCCACAACTAGAGAAAGCCTGAGCACAGCAACGAAGATCCAGCACGGCCAAAAATAAGATAAAATTAAAAAGTAACGCTTAAAAAACAAAAAGATGCCAGCACAGAGTGTGGGGATGCCCTGCAAACTGGGAGGTGGAGGGAGGCAGAGGGGTTGGTCCACAGAGCAGCCGCCGCCCCCGCAGGAAGGAGGACAACCCTACGTCCATGCTGATTATCCTTCCGTTATTGCAGAGCCCTCCAATCAGGGGAAACCGGGAAAAGTTGCTTCTAACCTTCCAGCCCTCGCGATGCAGAGGAGAGAACAGAGACAGAAGCCCTAGTCCAGTAGATGCTAGCCGGCAGGGGCCGTGCAAGCAGGAAGGATCAGGATGCCCTAAAAGCCCTCGCGTTACACACAGGTTGATGCTCCAACAGTTAACCCTTTGAAAAGAGAAGGGCCCCGTGAATGACAGATACCCACTACACTCTAGCCTATGCTTTGCTCTGGGACCCTCCTCCCTGCAGATCCTCAGAGGTCCTGGCCAGTAGAGAAGGAAGAAGTGAAGGGCTGGTTGTCCCATCCCTCAACGCATGGAAGCAGCTAATGAAGTGAGTAGGAATCATCATTTTCCTCATTCCCCTGGTTTGTTCTTTCATGCCTGATTTCATTCAGTCTTTTAAATAACCCCACCAGTAAGGTAAGCCCGGGAATCTGTTGGACTTTTTACAAACGAGGAGCCTGAAACTTAGGGAGGGAAGAGAACTGACATTTATAAGGTGCCCCCAAGCCAAGCTGCTCGCTTTTGTGCAAATACCTTTGTTCCACAGCAGCCCTGCCTTTGGGCATTACGAGTCCCACAGTGTGGGCTTCCCCGGTGGCTCAGGGGTAAAGAATATGCCTGCAGTGCAGGAGATGCGGGTTTGATCCTTATGTCAGGAAATTGCCCTGAAGGAGGAAATGGCAACCCACTCTAGTATTCTTGCCTCGAGAATCCCATGGACAGAGGAGCCTGGCAGGCTACAGCCCATGGGGTCACAAAGAGTCGGACACGACTGAAACCACTGCACACAGTCCCAGTTTGTCGATTCAGAAACCGAGTGTCAGAGGGCTGCCGTGCCTTACCCCTGAGAACAAAACTGGGAATAGGAAGAGCTGGGACTTGAACCCAGGTATGTGTGGGCCACTTTTTTATTCCAACAACCACTGGCCATGACCCACTGGCACAGAACCAGAACAGATGGTTCACAAGTGTCCAGTGACCAGCGGCTCCAGAAGACCAGCAGAGAGAAGCCGCCCAGTGTTGAGCAGTCTCAAGAGGTGAGGAGTGAAAAATAGTAATAATGAAACAAAATAAAAATGGAATACAGGACTCCCAGGTCAGCTAAAATGAGGAGGCCAAGAAGCAAAGCAACAGAAACCTCAGGAAAAGGGCCATTATTCTGCACCTTTTTTATTCCTTTCGAGGCATCTGCCAGAATTTAAGTTGCATGGGACCAGAGCCTAAGGAAACAAGCTGAAGACAGCAGCTGAGAGATTGAAAAGCTAGACTGAGCTTTTGATAGTCTCACAGTGTGGGGGAGACAGAAACTGGAAGTGAGAGGGTGCACGGAAGAGGCATGCCTACCAAACTCACAGCTCCCCCAGCTTTCCTCTAAGAAGGACTGTGCCCTGGGCTTCCTTGTGGCTCAGTGCAGGAGACTCTGGGTGGATCCCTGGTCCTGGAAGATCCCGCAGGCTGCGGAGCAACTCAGCCCATGTGCCCAGCCACTCAGTCGCGTCTGACTCTTCATGATCCCCCAGATTGTAGCCCGCCAGGCTCCTCCGCCCATGGGATTTTCCAGGCAGGAATACTGGAGTGGGTGGCCATTTCCTTCTCCAGGGTACCTTCCCAACCCAGGGATCGAACCTGGGTCTCCTGATCAGCAGGCAGACTCTTTACCATCGGAGCCACCAGGGGAGCCCACAACTGAAGAAGAGCCCATCAAAGCAAAGCATAGACCTGGCTTAGCCATACATACACAAATAACATGTTAAAGAAAAGAGAAGGGCTATTCCTTATAAATGGGCTTCCCTGGTGGTTTAGATGGTAAAGCATCTGCCTACAATGCAGGAGACCTGGGTTCAATCCCTGGGTTGGGAAGATCCCCTGAGAAGGAAATGGCAACCCACTCCAGTACTCTTACCTAGAAAATTCCATGGACAGAGGAGCCTGGTAGACTAGTCCATGGGGTCACATTCCTTGTAAGTAAGGGCAAGCCAGGAATAACTAGTCATCATGAAGACTGTGCAGCCTCGTTGTCTGGTCACCAACTGGGGCAGGGGGAGAGTGCCTGTGTTCTACCTGCCTCCAGGGGCAAACAGATTCCTTCCTGTCTAACCCACCTTATCCTCAGCTGCTACACTTCCAGCCCGTGCACTGTCCACTGTTAACCAGGCACTCTGAAAGGCAGAACCAAATGACCAAAGAGAGATAAGGAGAGAAAACAGGCAACAGAAATAGACCCTCATCTCCTCCAAATGTCACGAGGGCAAGACATGGTTTTAAAATAATCTTGATGGATCATTGCAGGCAGATAGATGACAAGGTACAGATTTTTACCCGAAAACTGGAACTTATTTAAAATATTTAAAATATTACTCAGGTGGCTCACAGGGTAAACTTAAAACTTAAAAACTTAAAAAATAAGATAACTGAACTAAATGTAGTATATAATTTAAACAGAGTGGACACAGCAGAAGAGAGGATGGACAAGGTAGTATCCATCTCAGGAAGTCAGAAAGATGACAGGTTTGAAACCCACAGAAATGACAGGAAAGGAAATGAGGACAATGAGGGCAGGTCCTGATGAAGTAGTGCAATTAACCAGTCACAAACCCAATCTGCCCATTTGGTTTGCCAAGTATTGGAAGCAGTTCTTCTCTTAGTGGCTGGTAATCACCACTATCTCCCTATTGTTGGGGGGGGGGTGGGGTGGCACGGGGAGGAAGGTGACTTCATTAGGGACCCTCCTTCAGGGAATCCTTTCTGAGTTCTTGAAGGGGCACTGACTTGTGTCAACTTTGAGGGGTGACCCTGTTGGACCGTGACATGCACCTTCTCTGCGCGTCTCCCAGTGAAATTGATCAGTCATGTCCAACTCTACGCGATGCTATAGACTGTAGCCCACCAGGCTCCTCTGTCCTTTGGATCCTCTAGCCAAGAATACTGGAGTGGTTTACATTTCCTTCTCCAGGGGATCTTCCCAAGCTGGGGATAGAATCTGGGCCTCCCACATTGCAGGCAGACTCTATCCTGTGAGCCACCGTTCAGAACTATCCATCCTTTGCATCTCCTCTGTACCCCTCCTCTATGTGTCCCCCAGAACTCCCGTCTGTGGCTGAGTGCTGCAGACAGAACTGGGAGCTGGGTCCTCCTCCCCTTCCTTCTCGTCCTCCTTGTTAGGGGAGGCGTGGCCAGCCTTCCTCGCTGTGCACTTGGCTCAGGGAGATCTTTGGCCCGTGGCGTCTTGGCCTTGGTCCCATCTCAGGGGCCCGCGCTGGCGTTCCCCGTGTGTTGCAGGCTGCCTCACTTAATAGAGAACAGAAAGTCACGCATTCTTTGTTTCTTCCCTGGGGCAGGGGAGAAGGTGGGGGGAGGGTTGTTCCTACTTTTCCACTGCAGTTTTGTTCCAGGGCTTTTGAGGGTACTAATTGGTACCAGCCTGGAAGGGTCTGCTGGTAGGTGGGTTTAGACCAGCACCCTGGCCTCGGAGATGCAGCTACCAGGAGGTACCAGATGAATGGATGGGAGGAGGGTGTCCCGGTCCCCCATCCCCCTGCAGCCCGGCCTTGCCCTCTGTCCCAGCGCTCACTGCCCCCTCTCTCCAGCATCAGGGTAGAATGTTAATACCTCTCGTGAAGCTGGGACGTTGTAAGGGACCTAGCTTCTCATTCACAGTTGTATTTGATCAACATGGTTCAGTAATTATCTGTTTCAGTGAATTCGTCTCTGGCGTTGGCATCAGGATACAGAGTCCGAAAGAGCATCATGGACTCTGCTCATTACAAAGACAAATGTAATGAGACCTTGTGAGTCAGACCCTCCAGTGAGTCTCCATGTTGCTCAGAGACACTCAGTCTTGATCCTGGCTTCTGAATCCCGCACACCCTCCACCCTACCCACATGCATGCCCCTCTCGGATCCAAGGTCATAGCATACTCCCTGCCAAAGGTGCTAGGGCCTGGCAGGTACCTGGGAAGTTCCCACTTTAGAATCTTTCATGATGGCTTCCTGCCACCCAGCCCAAAGCCTGGACAGCACAGGGCCCTGGCAAATACGCATCGAGTGAATCAGTTGAATGGCTAGATCGTGCGTGGTTGATAGCCTCAAGAAGTGGGCAGAATCTGTGTTGTCAGCTCCGTTTTCCAGCTGAAGGGGTGGTTCAGAGAGGGTCGGGCACTCGTTCACAGTCACACAGCCAATGGGGTTGAGCAGCCTGGTGAGAACTGGAGTCTCCAGACTCAGCCTGTGCTTTCTGGCTCAGCTCTCTCTGACTCAGTGGCTGTTTCCCTTCATCCACGTCTACACCCCTGTAGGTTCCTGACATCAGGGCCACAGCAAGGAATGGGGCTGAGTGTCCATCCTCATGGAGCGCCCAGCTCAGGGAAGAGACAGACAAGCACACAGCATAGGCAGAGAGGAGCCGGGATGCAGTGGAAGAGGCCCCTGCTCAGGCCGGGTGTGGGCAGGCCTTCCTCCCGGAGTCTAGGCAGCCAAGCAGGGTGCGGTGGATTTTCTGGATGGTGTGGGGACGGCCAGGCTGGGTGCCGAGGCCAGAACAACTGTGACCTGTGGGTCAGTCCTGTTGCTTCAAGTTGCAAGCAGTCTGCTTTACACAATAAAGGGGATTTATCCTCTGATGTCACTGAAAAGTCAAGGCCCAGAGAGGGCGGCAGGCAAGATCAAATAGGGACTCAACACCGATCGCCTCTTCCAGCGAGGGAGTTAAGTGTCTGGAACAACTCCAGATCTCACATCCAAGCAGCAAACTGGCCAAAGCCAAAGAACATCTCTCTCCCCGCTCCTCTGCAAAAGCCAGGAATTTCGCTCCAGATGAATTAGGCTGCGTGCCCATCCCTGGACCAATTACTGCAGTAGGAGGGGTGGGAACCCTCTACCTGCCAAGTTAGATCGGAGCCCGCCCTTGAGGATAAGCAGGTTACTCTGACTTAGATGGCAGAGCTGGTTGCTGGACAGAGGAGCAGGGGGCAGCTGGAAGGGACGGCTCTGGACACCATTAGGTTCTCCATACACGTCACGCTGTCACAAGTACCAAGTGGAGCAGGAGGCAAATGGAGAGATCTTGCCCCCCGGGCTGAGGCCTCGAGGAAGCAGTAGAAGCAACACATCTTGTCCTGACTGTCTCCAGGACGGCGCCGTGGATTTAATCTGATTTTTGAACTGCCCTCTTTCTACCAGAAAGTAATCAATCTCCTTTTCGCTGTCACTTCCCTAGGGAAAAAGAAAAAAAAAATATCCAGCTGGTTGACAGCCTACACATTGAGGATGGGGAAGGTAATTGATCAGACAGATAGAGACAGGGGCATATGTTCAGCAAGGACCAACAGGAGGCAGGTTCAAGTGCAGAGGTGTGACACAGCTGTGCTCTGCGGGAGCCCAAAAGCCAAGGAGGTGTGGGGACTTGTGTTACGGGCCTCCGAGGAGTCCCGGTGTGCTTTCTCTGAATAAGTGCCTCCCAGCCTTCTCTGTACCCCTCCAACTATGGTCATCTGGGGCCCAATCAACAGACAGGGTGTCCATCCAAGGCACGCTCCTCCAGGTGCGTGGACTCAGAAGGTCTGGGATCCAGACTCGGATCTCACTTCTTCCTCTCCCCATGACCTTGGGCAAAGCCACTTAATCTCTCTGAATCTCAGTTTCTTCTTTGGACAAGTTGGGAGACCCCTATGTGGGTGGCCATATACTTTGTTAGTTGAGGAAATAGATATGCATGAATGCACCATCCTCTCTGGCTCTTAGTGTCTCATCCAAGAATATCCATTCATACATAGAAAATGGCAAAGGAAAGTTTGTGTGCCTAGTCATGTCTGACTCTTTGTGACCCTGTGGACAAAGAACCCCCTTCCTGCTGGGCTCCTCTTGTCCGTGGAATTTCCCAGGCCAGAATACTGGAGTGGGTTGCCATTTCCTTCTCCAGAGGATCTTCCCGACCCAGGGATCGAACCTGCATTTCTTGTGTCTTCCACCTTGGCAGGCAAGTTCTTTACTAGCTGAGCCACTGGGGACAGAACGTTCAGCAAGTGCTTAGTGAATGCCAGAAACTCGGCAGAGAGCATTTTGTCTCATCTTCATGGCCATCCCATAAGTGGAGGTAGTACTGTCCCATTTTACAGAAGGGAAAACTCAGGGTCAGGAAGGTTGAAAAAATTGCCCCAAACCATTCTGCTGGTAAACCAGTGCTTGAACCTTGGTCAGGTAGAAGCCTGGGCTACCCTTTAAGAGAAGCGTTTTGGTTGTTGTTGATCTTCAGAATCCAAGAAAGCATGAAGGAGAGAGAAAGTAGCTTGTGCTCAGCAAGCTCGTGTGCCCAGCACTGTACGTGCGTTATTAACTCATTTCACAAACTTTGGTCAAGTGCTGCAATGTACTAGGTTCTGGTTGCAGGAAAGATGCGGGGGGACACCTTCCGAGTCTCTTGGCAACCTTGCACAATGGGCATTAACATCCTTCTGTACACATGCACTCACTGAAGCTCAAAAGGTTAAAAATTGTCCACCTGCCATGTTGGTGGTGTCACAACAGAGCAGAAAGGGAGGAAGTGAAGAGAGGAAAGTTTTTTTATAAGAAGGGGATAGACGTTCATCCTGTTTTCTTCCTCTTTCTCTGTGTAGATGACAGACAACCCGCAGTGCCTTCATCAAGCCAGCTGCTTCCCCACCACATCTCTGGTGACAGCGTGGGCAAGACCCAGTTCTAATTAAGGATTGTCACGCACCATCCTGTCCAGAGGGCACTGGAAGAAACAGCTTCCCTCTGTCCCGCACCGCGGCCCTTCCTGCGACGTCTTCACCTCCGAGGGACTGTGGGCTGTCACAAGGATTAATTACACTGCCACCCCCTTGGATGGGAAAGGAAATCACGGTTATTAGGTTTTGATTAAAGCTTCATCAAGAGACGTTATCGGCTGTTTGAAGACTGCTGATGAAACAGGCCACTGTATTTCCTGAAAAGACAAATTGCATGCCGACAGAGCCAACCCACCACGAGTGGTCCACTTAGCCTCTGAGCATCGCGGGTGATGTCCGGCACCGCCTGCTGGCCACCAACCTGCAGAAGCGGCCGTCGGGAGGCTCCGAAGCTCCCTGGCCACCCCTGTCTTGTCCTGGCCTGCCACTGAGCCTCTATCTCTGGGTTCTTTCTTGGGAGTTCTTGCCCAATTAGGCGTGGTTTCCTCCAGCCCATCCCTGGGCTCCCCCCCCACCTCAGGGAAGCAGAAACGGCGACCATGAGGAAAAGAACTCTCAAAGTGCTCACGTTCCTCGTCCTCTTCATCTTCCTCACCTCCTTCTTCCTGAACTACTCTCACACCATGCTGGCCACCACCTGGTTCCCCAAGCAGATGGTCCACGAGCTCTCAGAGAACTTCAAGAAGCTCATGAAGTATTCCAACAGGCCCTGTACCTGTACTCGCTGCGTTGGGCAGCGCAGGGTCTCCTCTTGGTTCGACGAGCGATTCAACCGGTCCATGCAGCCGCTGCTGACCGCCAAGAATGCACTCCTGGAGGAAGATACCTATAACTGGTGGCTGGTGAGAACCGGGACAGTGGGTGGGTCTGGGGGAAGGCGGGGTGGGGGGCCCCTGACGGCCAAACGCTCAGTCCCTGGCGTGCACCTGGGGCCCTGCCAGGTGCTTGGTGGGATTCGGAATGTTAGTCATTCATTCATCCAGCATCTACATATTGAGAATCCACTCTATATAAACCAGAGCCAAAGGTTCTGTAGGAGTTTCCGGTGTCTGCCATCACAGGAGACGTAGAAGTTGGCTTGAAGCTATAGACGTGCGTTCCCTCTTGTTTCTGGAGGCAGAGGCTGAGATCAAGGTTGAGATCAGCCTGACCAAGTCTGAGATCAGCAGGGCTGGTTCCCCTGAAGGCTCTGAGACACTCCACCTCACGCCTCTCTCCCTGCTTCTGAGGGTCGCTGGTCCCTGCAAATTCCTTGGCTTGTAGACACATCCCTCCAGTCTCTGCCTCCGTCTTCACACGGCCACCTTCTCTGTGTCTTAAGCACCCCTCTTCCTTCCTCTGTAAGGACACCTGTCACTGAGTTGAGGGCCCACTCCATATTCAAGAGGACCTCATCTCGAATTCCTTAACTACATCTGCAAAGATTGTTTTTCCAAATAAAGTCCCATCCACAGGTTCCAGGGGTCAGGACTTGGACATATACTTTTAGAAGCCACTATTTAACTATTATTGAGAAGCAAAAAAGACAGAATCCTCTTCTCATGGAGTTATATTCTGGCAGGGAGAGATGGATAACAAACAAACAAGATAGGCTCAGCTAGAAGTGCTTGGAGGAGGAACGAAGGGGTTTGTGATAGGGAGGAGCTTGGGGCAGAAGCCTCTATAAATGGACCAATGGGAAGGTCTCTGAGGAGCCAGGACTTGAGTGGAGACTAAAGGCAGAGAGGACACAGGCCATGGAAGGATCTGGGGAAAGTGCAGTAGGTCACAGGGCAGCAGGTGCAGAGCCCTGGGGCAGCGTCATTGGTGTCTTGGGCGGGTGGAAGGTGATAGAGGAGCTCTGTGTGGCCGTGAGCTGGGGTTGCTGCCTCTAGAGGAGGTCTGGGAGCAGGCAAGACCCAAAGCGGAGAGTGTGGCACTTGTGTCTAAGTGCAGCAGAAAACTTCAAGACTTTTAATCAGGAGAGGTCCGTGATCTGATCTAGTTGTTTGAAAGGTCACTCTGGTTGTCAGATGCAAAATGGATTGTAGGAGAGTGAGAAATACCCAGTCATTCAAGATTTACTGAGCATCTAGTAAATGCCAGTGTATTTAAACGGAAAAAGAGCTTTCCCTTTCTAGGGATGGTGGGAGAGAAGGGAAAATGGACAATCACAAGACAGAGTGATGGATGGTAGGCACCCAGGGTCCCTGGGGTTTGCTCTTAATTTCCTATATTTTATCAAGAATGATTTTGAGGAACTTCATCTTGCTGAGTTCCAGACTGAAGTAATAATAGTCCCCTCATCTAGTTTCTCTACAACACTGCAAACATTAGGTTTTAACATTTTTATTTATTTGTGCTGCTTTAAATGAGCATGGGATAATGAATTCACATTTTTGTTCAGCACGTGGGAAGGCTGAATATTTTCCCACATGGCTGCTAACATTTTATCAGTTTTTTTAATCCCTACCCCAGTGCTTGTCTGCCGTCCTTCTTTGCTGGAGTTTAGCCTCTGGTAGCCACTTGGTAAGGATTTTGCAGGGGAGGAGGAGAGTCGAGAAGGGGCCTCACCAATAGAAATCAACAGAAAGGAGCAGGGCTTTCGAGCTTCTGAGTTCCTTGACAACACACAGACCACATGTTTTGAATAGTTGGGACACCACTTCTGACAAGCACTCCTGTCCCTCCAGGCAGAGACACAGAATACTGAAATCAAAACCATCCTGAGAGCTCCCAGGAGGCACCGTAGCACTGCCTAAAGGCCCCCAGGCATCCAGGACAGATCCAGATTTAGGAGGCTGAACACAGAGCCCTGCCTTTCAAACATGACGAGCCTGGCAGGAAATGCCCTGCAGGCTGGTGGGCTGGCAGAGGGCCACGGAAGGTGCTGGATGCTGTGAGTCAGAGGGGCTGGGCCTAGACCCACTCCTCCCCGTCCGGTCTGCGGCGTCTTCTCCTCTGTCTCCAGGTCTGGGTGAAGGACTTGACAGGTCACCCGCCGTCAGTACAAAGCCAGGCTTGGGGCTCTGTCGTCTGCCCCCAGGCACCGTCGTTTTCCGCCGCCTTGCCCACTGCGGCCTCTCCAGACCCACATGGGAGCTAGGGCAGGGAGGCCGGACCAGGGATGGAGGCTTCAGGGGCTGGAAGATGACAGCCAGGTGCCTTGGGGATCACACAACCCCCCACGTCCTTCACATCAAGGTCACGCTGACTGTCTCAGCTTCTGCCCCTAAGACACGAGCGCCACCAGCAGCGGGCAGGCACTGGCTGAGTCCTGACTGTAAACGGGAAATAGACTACAGTACTTGGGAACTAGTCAGGAGGGTGAAGGGGAGGCAACTTTGAACCTCTGTCCCACTCTCCTTGTGCTTGTCAGCAGCCCTCTGGGACTTTGCGTTGTCATTTACAGAAGACAGAGAAATCAGGAGGTCCTTTCCCAGGGAGGACAGGGACGCAGCGGGGTGTGACTGGCCTCAGCTCCCCAAGCCAGTGAGGGGACGCTTTAGGGTTCTCATCCCCAGAAACACGGCTAGACCCCAGCCCTCTGCCTCCGGTTCTACCCGCTCTGCCCTCCCCTGGTGGCCTGGATCTTTCCATCTCTGGACCTCAGTCTGTCAATGAAGGTGGGGAACAGAGCCAAGATTCCTGGAGTGTGAGCTGGGGCCCCAGGGCGTGCGTGACTCCTGGTGATACGGGGGCGGGGCCTTTAAGAGCATCGCGTCAGGCACGAGTCGGAGGAAGTCATCCCTGCTTTAATTCTCTTTCCATCTTTGAAATTGCAAGGGTTACATGTGCCTCCTTTTTTCGTGATGCAGCCTTTTAGCACCTGCCTGTCTCAGTTCTATTAATAGTGAAGACAGGGCGGCTTGCCTGGGCAAGCAACAGGATGGAGCTGGAAGTGAATAAGGTGATTTTGTTTTCATCATATTGGGTAATTACTTTTTTACTTCTGCCAAGTAACTCTTGCTTTCACGTGTGGCTGAGATATGAGATTGCCTTTTAAAATAATCTTTAAAAGCAGGCAATCCTAAGGGAAATCAACCCTGATCATTCCTTGGAAGGACTGATGCTGAAATTCCAATACTTTGGCCACCTGATGAGAAGAGCCAACTCATTGAAAAAGACTCTGATGCTGGGGAAGATCTAAGGCAGGAGGAGAAGTGGGTGACAGAGGACGAGATGGTTGGATGGCATCACTGACTCAACAGACATGAGTTTGGGCAAGCTCCAGGACATGATGAAGGACAGAGAAGCCTGGCATGCTACAGTCCATGGGGTCCCAAAGAGTTGGACATGACTGAGTGACTGAACAACAATAACTTTTTTAAATGAATCAAGGAGTGAACCAGTAATAGGTGGATGGGACAACGAGAGGCTGTCCTCCCAACACGGGTATCCTGCCAGCTCTGAGCCTTCAAACTCCGGGTCCCCTAAGACAAAGCAGACATGTGTGTAACATAGTAGGTGCTCAGTAACTACTGCTGAGCGCTGGATTAAAGAATGCCATGTGACTCCTAACCCAGCGTACAGCGTCATGCTCCCCGAGGTAGTGACACAATGGGGGACTCTCTCTGGTCTCGGGTGCATCCTCCTGATGTCCGGGCCCTTCTTGTGTGGGCATTCTTGGAGGAGGTTCCTGATGGGGAGCTTGCCTGTGGTCTCCAATCCCCGGGGTTGTCAGAGTATGGTCCTCACTATACCAGCAGCAGCATCGCCTGAGAGCCTGTAAGAAGTGCTGGACCTGGTGCACAGATCTTGCAGGTTAGCATGTTAGTTGAGGCTTCTGCCCCAACATTCCAGGTGACCGTGTCTTCAGGAGCCTGGAGCTGCCCCAGAAGTTCCTAAAGGGGCAGGTGTTTAATCTGGATGTGGTTTTTGTCTTATTGTGAGAGCTCCCCAGATGGGCAAGTCGTAAAGAATCCACCTGCCAGTGCAGGAGACTCAAGAGACCTGGGTTCAATCCCTGGGTCGGGAAGATCCCCTGGAAGAGGGCATGGCAACCCACTCCTGTATTCTTGCCTGGAGAATCCCATGGACAGAGGAGCCTGGTGGGCGACTGTCCATGGCATCACCAAGAGTCAGACACGACTTAGTGACTAAACCATCACCACATACACACGGTATTTATCATCCTAACTCTTTGTAAGTGTACAATTCAGTGACAGTAAATGCATTCATGATGTTGGGTAACTATCACCACTACCCGTACCTGGCACTTTCATCACCCCCAGTGAAACCCCATACCCCTCAAATAATAACAACCCCTACCGTCCCTCTCATCCCCCAGGCAACCACCATTCTACTTTCTGTCTTGATGAACCTGGTGACTCTAGTATCTCCTGTAAGTGGAATCGTACAACATGTCCTTCTGTGTCTAGCAAGTAAGTCAGTGAAATAACACTTAGCATAAAGTGAAGTAGCTCAGTTGTGTCCGGCTCTTTTCGACCCCATGGACAGTGGCCTACAAATTCATCCTTTGGTATTATATATCGAAATGTCCCTTTTTTTTTTTATAACTGAGAGATGTTCCACATTTTGTTTATTCATTCGACTGTCGATGGACCCTTAAGTTATTTCCACCTTTTGTCTGTTGTGAGCAATTCTGCTGTGAACACAAGTGAACTTGTTCAGGACCCTGATTTCAGGTTTCTTTCTCTGTTTTCTTGGTCATGGCTTGTGGGACCTTAAATTCCCTGACCAGGGATTGAACCTGGACCCTCAGCAGTGCAGGCGCCGAGTCCTAACCCCTGAATCACCAGGGAGGCCCCTGATCAGTTCTTTTCAATACTTAGCGATGGAACCACTGAGAGACCGCCAAGCAGTTTGCCACCGTGGCTGCACCATTTTACGTTCCCACCAGCAAGGCACGAGGGCTCCAGGTCCTCCAGGTCGTCACCAACATTTGTTAGTTTCCCTTTTTTTCTCGTGATTACCATCCTGTGTGATGTTTACAATAAGGGTGTGCCTGGGGTCCTGATGTCATTGCCCGTGGCTCCCCAGGCATGTGCCGTGTCTTAGGCTAGAGGAGATGCTAGGTGGCTTTACCCATGGAACCATCCGGGTCTCCTGCTGCGCCTCCTGTTGTGGTTGCTGACTCTTCCCAGGCCAGCTGGGGACCAGGCGCCCGGGGACCTCCCCACACAATCCCCCAGTCACTGATCTCCTAGACAGTGGCCAGAGCAACAGCTAACCTCACCTTTCTCTCCCGCAGCCCCTCCCCTGTCTTTGGGGCTGGTGAGACAGGTGGGACTCACCCCACGGCCACCTCCCCCTATCCAGCCCCAGGGACTGGGCTTTCTGTAGGGTTTAGGAGGTTTCTCTCTTTCTCTCTTTCAGGTTCCAGGTTCCAGGGCTCTGAGACAGGGGTGGTGTTGGGGAGAGGCGTTAAGGTGGGCCTTATAAAAGCCTGGCTTCAAATTCCCCTTTGGATTCAGGACACGCGCTCAGCAGACTCAGACCCTCCTTCCTTGTCCACCTGTGAATTGACAGCTCTGTGGCCTGGTGACATGGGAGATGCAATGCTTCTTAGGAGATCTCTACAGGTTTCACTCTGAGTGGGCGGTGGTCTGTATCAGCGTGTGGTCACTGTGCAGTGTGGCTCCCAGAGGCAGTGGGCGGACATGGGCGGGCAGAGGGGGCCTCAGTAAGGCAGCCCACTCACCCCACTTTCATCACTGAGAGTCCCGCTTCCAGTGCTAGCGCTCAGCTGTGTCTGACCTCGCGGACGGCAGCCCGCCAGGCTCCTCTGTCCCTGGGATTCTCCAGGCAAGACCACTGGAGTGGGTGGCCATGTCCTCCTCCAGGGGATCTTCCTGGGTCAGGGGTCTAACCCATGTCTCCTTAATTGGCAGATGGATTGTTTACCACTGAGCTACCTGGGAAGTCAGGGAAACTCCTTAACCCTGGGCCAACCAGGTGGCTGGTTGCCCTCAGGATAAACCCAGTGTTTGCCCGCGCCAGGGGGTCAGGCAGTTCCCAGGGTAGTTGACCTTGGGTGTGGACATGAAAATAATTTGTTAAGCAGAGGATGGACTGCTTGATGCATCTGGTGAAGCGCTGATTCTTAGGTCTGGACAGAGCCCAGAGGTCCTGGGCTGAGGTTGCCGAGTGGTAGGACAGGGAGGGGAGGCGGGTGTGGAGGGTCACCCGACCTTTGCTTCCATGCGCCTCACTCATACCGCCTGGGCTGAAGAGGCCAGAGCTGTACCACGTTCATGAAAGTGAAAGTGTCAGTCGCTCAGTTGTATCCGATCTTTGTGACTCTATGGACTATAGCCTCTGTCTTTGGGATTCTCCAGGCAAGACCACTGGAGTGGGTGGCCATTCCCTTCTCCAGGGGATCGTCCTGACCCAGGGATCGAACCTGGGTCTGCTGCATCGCAGGCAGATTCTTTACCCACCAAGGACAGCAGGTGCTCAGGAAGCATTTGTAGACTGGATGGATGATCTCTGGCCTTCCTGTCTCCCCGAGTGGCTGCTGGGGGGGACGTGGAGCTGTGTCTCCAGGTGCCTTGAGAGGAGCCAGGTCACCAGCCCCGAGGGGCTCAGGCTCCAGCTGCTGGGACCAGCAGTGGCCCAGCCCTGCTGACTCACATCCCGCGTCCTCTGCCCCCAGAGGCTCCAGCGGGAGAAGCAGCCTAATAACCTGAACGACACCATCAAGGAGCTGTTCCAGGTGGTGCCCGGGGACGTGGACCCCCTGCTGGAGAAGGGCTCGGTGGGCTGCCGGCGCTGCGCTGTCGTGGGCAACTCGGGCAACCTGAGGGAGTCCTGGTACGGGCCTCAGATAGACAGTCACGACTTTGTGCTCAGGTGAGTGAGGCCCCTCAACCCCTAGCCCACCCCGCTGCCCCCACCTGGGCCCCTGGAGCTGCAGAGGGCGTCATGGCTCGGGGTCAGGAGGTCAGGACTCCAGTCGGGGAGCCCAGACTTCCCCAGGGCCTCAGTTTCCCCACGTGCATTGCAGGATGGGGATGGATCAGCAAGGCCTCTCTGAACCCAGAGAGGACACTGTGCAAAGAAGCACCCAGTGGGCTGGGAGCTCGGCCTGGAGTCGCCTGACTGGAGGACAAGACTAACCTGAGACTCTTATTTCATCTTTACAGCCCGCCCCTGCTTGGCCATTTAGGCCATAACATAACTCATGCTTCTCATGCAGAATAGGTTTCCCTATCTCCAAGTAAAATGAATGTTCCAGGAAGATGCCCACGTCTCTCCTGGGTTTCTCGTCACCCCCACACCAGGCACGCGATCCAGGGCTCCAGTGCCCAGCGTGAGAAACTCAGGCAGCCATCCCCAGGCGCCTTCTAGAACTGCCCCCATTTCTGTGGACTCTGACGTTATGTCTTTAGACCACTCACCTGGTCTCGGGGAGCCTCAGTGTACTGGCATCCAGTTGGAACGTCTGTGGTGAGGAGGAAAGAGTCAGGTTTAGGGTCGACAGGCCCTGAGTTCAAGGCCACCACTGGGTAGCTCTTGGGTTCTGGGATAAATTCTTTACATATACCAGTTATCATTAAAGGTCGATGAGGTACATCACTGCACCGGGACAGAGTCAGCTGTTGGTGGTGGGGATGGTTAGGCTCATCTGAAATCATAAATGAGAAAAAAGTAGCGAAAACTGGCTGACCTGGCCCACACTGTACCCATTTTACAGATGAGAAAGTTGGGGCCCAGCGAAGGGGGACACAGGACAGCCTCTCTGAGCTAAAGCTGACAAGATGCCTGTCGTCTCTCCCTCCCCCCCAGGATGAACAAGGCCCCCACTGCAGGGTTTGAGGCCGACGTTGGGAGGAAGACCACCCACCACCTTGTGTACCCCGAGAGCTTCAGGGAGCTGGCGGAAAACGTCAGCATGGTTCTGGTCCCCTTCAAGACCGTCGACCTGGAGTGGGTGATCAGCGCCACCACCACGGGCACCATCTCCCAGTAAGGCCCCTCGGGGCGTCTGCGTGGGGGGCGGTGGTCACTGCCCGGGGGGGTCACTGCTCCTCCTTGCTGAGTGAGGGCCTCTGAGCCCCCTGCCACGCTGTTCCACCCACTGCAGCCACACTTATGCTGTTCTGCTGGCGCAGCTCGCCTCCCCAAGCCGCATCCTAGACAGCACAGCCCCGCCCCCAGGCCGCACCTGGCTCTTCCTGGTGCCCCTCCTCCCATCGCCCCCGCGCCACAGCCCAATAGACCTCCCTGGTTTGCTTCCCCAAAGTGAAAAGTGAGAGTGTCAGTCGCTCAGTCGCATCCGACTCTTTGCAACCCTGTGGGCTGAAGCCCACCAGGCTCCTCTGTCCGTGGGATTCTCCAGGCAAGAGGACTGGAGTTGGGCTGCCCTTGCTTCCCCAAACGCCCTGTGAGTCCCCCAGGAGGTGGACCCTGCTGGAGAGAGCCTGGCGGTGTCGGTTCTGCGTGCTGAATTTTCTCATCTCTGTGCTGCTCCCCGATTATTACAGCTCCCCCGCACCCCCGCCTGCCTCTCGCACTGTCAAACAGCCCCAGCTGAGCTGGGGGGTGGCTAGGGAGACCGGGTGAGGAGCCTGTCGGCTCTGGTGTGAGTCACCGGTCCTGCCTGGAGCATCGAGGAGTCAGTTCACATCTGATTTGTTCCGGCCGCTTGGCACGCGTCTCGCTGAGTTCACACTAGCCCTTCTCGTGACCTCCGTCCTCCAGGGAGACCCAGAGGCTTGGCCTCTACACAGAGCCAGGCTCACACCTCGTCTCCTTCCTGCCTGAAAGGAACGGGGCTTAGTGCCCAGATGGCCGGGAGCCTCCTTGTCCAAGGCCTCCTTAGGAAACCCAAGGGATTCGGGGTGCAGGGCAGTGAGGGAAGCGGGCTTGGGCAGAGTGGGGGCTGGGTCACCAGGGCTCAGCTTCGGCCTCTACACAGTTCAGTTCAGCTCAGTCATGTCCGACTCTTTGCGACCCCATGAATCGCAGCACGCCAGGCCTCCCTGTCCATCACAAACTCCCGGAGTTTACTCAAACTCATGCCCATCGAGTCAGTGATGCCATCCAGCCATCTCATCCTCTGTCGTCCCCTTCTCCTCCTGCCCCCAATCCCTCCCAGCATCAGGGTCTTTCCCAACGAGTCAACTCTTCGCATGAGGTGCCCAAAGTATTGGAGCTTCAGCTTCAGCATCAGTCCTTCCTCTGCACAAGGCCCTCTAATTAGCCACGAACGCCCTCTGGTGTCCACAATGGGCTACCGCAGGAGGTGGAGCCCCTTGGTGAATGAGTGCTTCTCAGGGTGGTCCACCGGCCTCTCCAGCCCTCCCCTCCCCAGCCTATGCCCAGGCAGCCGACCCCTCCCCATACTAACCACCTGCCTTGTCCTCCTGCAGTACCTACGTTCCTGTCCCTGCCAAGATCAAAGTGAAAAAGAATAAGGTGAGTCAAGGTGCAGGTGCCTTGCCCTCTGAGCTCAGCCTCGCTTTGAAGTCTCCGCCTGATGACAGAGAGAGCCAGCATCTGGCTGCAGAGAGCCCCCTGGGCCCCCAGCATTGGCAGCAGGGGGTGGGCCCCCACTTAGGGAGTGGAGAGACGAACCCTGGAGAGTTTCCCTAAGCCTGGACCCTGGACCAGCCCTTGTCACCAGTGCAGATCCTCGGGCCGCCCCAGATCTGCTGAATCAGAAGCTCTGGGTTTTTACGAGCCCCCCAAGGATGCTGATGCAGTTTGAGAACCACTGCCCGTACGGTGTGAGCATCTCAAAGCCAGTCCTCGCCTCCCATCTCTCTGTATCGCCGCGTTCTCCAGTAGGCCCTGGTGTGGGATTGGCTAAGACGTGGGCAGAGGGATGGTGGAAGTGAAGTGTTGCGTGGAAATGAAGAGATCAGGTTCAGAGAGGCCAGGTAACTTGCCCAGAGACACAGAGCTTGTTCACTGATGCTGTGTGCTGATGTCCTCCCGGGGGCGGCTGTGTGATGTTGAGCATGTCCCTCAGTGTCTCTGAGCCTCGATTTCCCCACCTATGACACGAGGAGAGGGACAGCTGGCATGTGAGGTCATCTTCGGGACTGAAGGTCATTCAGGCCCATGTCAGGCCGGTGTCTTCCTGCAGTGTGACAGGAGTGTCCTTGTCCGCAGCCCATGCTCTTCTCTTGGATCTTTCTCCTGCAGCCTCATGTCCTGCTCCTGGCCTCCTTGACTGTTGTTCAGATGCCACCTTCTCACCCCAGCGCTTCCTCACCTTTCTCTGCTTTCTTTCTCTCTGTGGTCTCATCATTCTTTTCCAGCATCCTCTGTGTATCCATGATTTAGGTTCAGTTTAGTTCAGCTCAGTCACTCAGTCATGTCTGACTCTTTGTGACCCCCATGGACTGCAGCACACCAGGCTTTCCTGTCCATCACCAACTCCCGGAGTTTACTCAAACTCATGTCCATTGAGTTGGTGATGCCATCCCACCATCTCATCCTCTGTCGTCCCCATCTCCTCCTGCCTTCAGTCTTTCCCAGAGTTTACTCAAACTCATGTCCATTGAGTTGGTGATGCCATCCCACCATCTCATCCTCTGTCGTCCCCTTCTCCTCCTGCCTTCAGTCTTTCCCAGCATCAGGGTCTTTTCCAAGGAGTCGGTTCTTTGCATCAGGTGGCCAAAATATTGGAACTTCAGCTTCAACATCAGCCCTTCCAATGAATATTCAGGACTGATTTCCTCTAGGATTGACTGGTTTGATCTCTTTGCAGTCCAAGGGACTCTCAGGAGTCTTCTCCAACACAGTTCGAGTTCAAAAGCATCAATTCTTTGGCGCTCAGCTTTCTTTATGGTCCAACTCTTACATGCGTACATGACTACTGGAAAAAACATAGCTTTGACCATATGGACCTTTGTTGGCAAAGTAATGTCTCTGCTTTATAAAATGTGGTCTAGGTTTGTCATAGCTTTTCTTCCAAGGAGCAAGCATCTTTTAATTTCATGCCTGCATTCACCGTCTGCAGTGACTTTGGAGCCCAAAAAAATGAAGTCTGTCACTGTTTCCATTGTTTCCCCTCTATTTGCCATGAGGTGATGGGACCAGGTGCCATGATCTTGGTTTTCTGAATGTTGAGTTTTAAGCCAACTTTTTCACTCTCCTCTTTCACTTTCATCAAGAGTCTCTTTAGTTCTTCTTTGCTTTCTGCCTTAAGGGTGGTGTCTTCTGCATATCTGAGGTTATTGACATTTTCTCCTGCAATCTTGATTCCAGCTTGCTCTTCATCCAGCCCGGCATTTCATGATTTAGGTTAGGGTCCATATTTTCCACTAGATTGTACCCCACCCCAACCTCCCGTGTAGGGATATGAGCTCTGGGCACTGCTCTGTCCCCTGTGGACCCAAGAGCATGCGGCACCTGACATGTGCCTGGGGTCCTCCCCCAGCCCCTCACCCTGGGCCGCATCCTTCCCTCCGCAGATCCTGATTTACCACCCGGCCTTCATCAAGTACGTCTTCGACAGCTGGCTGCAGGGCCACGGGCGGTACCCGTCCACCGGCATCCTCTCGGTTATCTTCTCACTGCACGTCTGTGATGAGGTAGGACACACCCCGTCCCCGTCCCCCCCGCTGCCTCATGTTCTCCAGGGGGCGGTGAGGGCGCCTGCGGTCAGGACCTCCATCCCCACCCCCAGGCCTCTTCTGGGAGCTCAGGTCCTGTCTCCACGGTGGGGCTTGCTGTGCCTCCTCCACAGCACCTTCCAGGAAAGAGCCGTGTTCTCCTGGTGTGGGAGCTGCTCCGGGCAGGGCCAGGCCCAGCAGGTAGAAGCTCAGACTTGGGGTTAGAATAAGGGAGCAGATTGTAATGGGGGAGCTGTCTGGGGCCTCGGTTTCCATCTCGTTTGCTCCTTAGAATCATCTGTGCAGCTAAATTCCAGCCCCCAGGCCACAGCCCAGCCCACTTCCACCAGAACTGCTGTCAGTGGGGACCAGGGACCCAAGGGCTCCCCCAGGCACCCAGGGGTTCCACTGCTCACCAAGGCTGAGAACCAATGATCTTGCCAAGCGTGCCTTTCCCCATCGTGGACGCGCCTCACCGTCTGCCAGGCTGTGCCCATGTTACTGTTGGTGATCTGGGGTGCTCACTGCCTATGGGCAGTGAAACAGGAGGGGGACCCCCCAACTTCCTCCCTGGCCCTGGTTCAGGCAGGACCCTCCGATGTCCCTTCTTGTCACCTGCGGTCCATCCTTGCCCCCTGCCCCAGCAGGCTCATAGCTGGAAATTGCAGATAGGAGTTGAGGGGGTAGCAAAGTCCACCCGTCGTCTCTAACTCATGTGTTCTGCCACCGTCTCCCCCCATCCTTCAGCCAGAAACCCGGGTGTCCCTATCAGAAGCCGTATCTGCCTCTTGCCGCCCCCTGCAGTCTGCTGGTCACAGAGCCCGTGGGCTTCTGCCTCAGAGTGCCCTTCCCTCCACCCTGGGTGGCCGTGTCTGCTGGCACTTCCTGAAAAGGCTGCAGTCAGCGCAGCGCTGTGTCCTGGTCCGGCGGCCCCACCCCGGGCTATGTCTGCCACGCTGCATCCTGCGTGGCCGGCCCCCAGACCGCATCCCGCGTGTCCTCCCCCTGAAAGCCTCTTCCCCAGTCCCTCGGGCTTCCCAGGTGATGCTCGTGGTAAAGAACCCACCTGCCAATGAAGGAGATGTAAGAGACTTGGGTTCCGATCCCTGTGTTGGGGAGATTCCCTGCAGGAGGGCATGGCAACCCGCTCCAGGATTTTTGCCTGGAGAGTCCTATGGACAAAGAAGCCTGGTGGGCTGGGATCCGTAGGGTCACAAAGAGTCGGACATGACTGAAGCGACTTAGCATGTCAGACCCTTCCTGGTCATCTTCTACTCATTTTCCAAGACCCAGTTCAAAGGTCACCTTATGGGACAAGCTCTCTGCCCCCTCTCGTCTCCTCCTCAGTCCCGGGGCGGGGGAGGGGGTGGGGGGGTGCCCCGCATCAGCCCCTCTTGAGGGGTCAGTTGCTGGCTGCCATAAGTTAGCGGCTCAAGGGGACTGTTACTCACACCTTTTTGTCGTCACCTCCTTTTGAATATGGGCAGGACTGTGATTTGTTTCTAAAAGATAGGATATGAAAAAGTACTTAATATTTGACCCTTTACAGGATAACTTTGCTGATCTCTGAACAGAACAAAAGCAAACAAATAGCCATCTATTAAACTTCCTAACTTATTTGATCATGAAATATATTATTTTGTGTTAACACTTGTTTCTCCAAGAAGCACATTAATTAAAAATATTTTTATGGAGAGTTTCAAGGAAAGAAAAGTTAGTATTTAAATTGCATAATGTACAAGTAAAACTTTCTCATACATTTTTGTCTTTTACCCCAGTTTAAATTTGTTAAATGGTGATATGATCATAGAAGCTAGAGAAAAGAGAAAACATCCTGGAATCATATAACCAAAAATATATATTTTTGTCTAAGTAAACATTTTTTTTTTTCCTAAAACAGTACTCATCCTGGCAAGGGCATGTTGATAAAGATATGTTTATATATTGATTAAAAAAAAAATAAGAAGCTCTGAGGGCTGAGACCGAACTCCCTCATCCCTAATTTCTCCAGCATCCCCCTGAACTCTGACAGGTTTAATGCACACTCAGAATAAAGGCTCAGTAAATGCTTGTTGCATGTAAGAAGCCTGCCCCCCCCCCCACCAGACAGTGAGGGCCCCTGGACCAGATGAATATTAGCCTAGGGGAAGAAAAGGATCAGCACCTTTTCTTGGAGGATCACACCCACCTCGCCATGGTCATCACTCTTGGCCCCATTTCCCAGATGAGGAAAGTGAGGCTCAAAGGAGTGGTTTGGCACTCACAGGGTATCCCAGCAGGCGGCAGAACTGGGGCCTGGGGTGGACTGCTGGCCTTCGAAGTTCTGCTCTTCAGTCCTTGGAGAAGAGGTTGTACCTCCCCGGAGGTGGACCCGGCAGGCACAGACAAGCAATAGGCTTCCATTATGCCTTCTGGCCTTGACCTTAACTTTTACCCAACTTGCTTTGTTACACCAAGCTGCCAGGAGCTCCAGGCTCCTGGAGGCTGTGTCCCCCACTGACCGGTTCTCAGCTTTGCTTTGCCCTCGGCAGGTGGACCTGTACGGCTTCGGGGCGGACAGCAAAGGGAACTGGCACCACTACTGGGAGAACAACCCGTCGGCGGGGGCTTTTCGGAAGACCGGGGTACACGATGGGGACTTCGAGTCCAACGTGACGGCCACCTTGGCATCCATCAACAAAATCCGGATCTTCAAGGGGAGATGACGCTGCGAAGGGCTGAGGACAGGTGCATCACGTGTGACTCCGCATCCAGCCCCAGCTTCCCACCGGAGCCATTCTTCTCCAGGAACTTCGAGGCCCAGCCTCAGGGGTGTGCCCAGGTGCCCCTCGCAGCCTCTTGCACCCCAACATTTGGCAGCATCTACTGAGCAAGGTCGCCGACCCCAGCCAGGGCTTCAGAGCAAGTCTCAGAACCAGTCTCGAGAGGGGAGAACCCCCTCCTCGCTGCTGTTCCGGGCTGGAGGAGGCGGGGAGACTCTGCAGAGATCCCATCCGAGGATTCCCATGTTCTAGAGGAGAGAATGGTCTCCCGGGGGGGAGCACAGAGGCTACACCCCCGAGGGGTCCGGGGTCAACACTCTGATTCTCGCTGGGAAGTTTCTGGGTGAAGATGACCTCCAGGACAGCCACCCCACCTCCCCTTTCTGCCCAAAGATCGCTGAACCGTGGCCAGGAGGGGTCCCCGCCCTGAAAGTCTTTAGCGACTCGAAATGCCCGGGAGATGTCTTCTTCCCAAGCTGACGTCTCCTCCAGTAATTGACCTCTGTGGTTATCATGAGGGCTGAGCGCGGGTCTAAGTGCTTCCATGTGCCTTGGTACTTGGGGGAGAAATGCATGCCTTGACTGAAATGTGGCAAAAGCCCCAACTTGGGGAAGGGGACCCCAGCAGTGCGCTCCCCTTGGTCTGTAGCTGGGAACAGTGTTCTAGTTTCTGGAGCCAGTGTCTGAGCTGCAAGAAAGCTCAGTTGGAACTAGATTCCATCCAGAGGCCCCCTCAGCCATGGACCATACATTCTTATTTTCATAGACTATTGGATTTGGTGCCTGAAACCTTCCAGAGCTTTGCGGCGGAGGTGGGACACCAGCCAGCAGTTGCCACCAGGGTCAGATCCCCCCTGGCCACCTGTGTGAGGACATCCTAGAAACGTGACCGTCAGAGGGGAGAAGTCATACCTCATCCTTCACGTCCCAGCTGCTCTTTCTTCCTCGTCAGCCTTCCTGATTATTTATTGTTTTGTCTTTTAAATTCAACTGACATCATCTGCACTTTGTGACTTGGGTGTGCTCGCTTCGGCAGGCAGCTGGGGTGTAGGCGCTCAAAGCCAGATTTGTAGAAACCTTCAGACGTGGGGTACTGGGGTGTTCAGGGCTTGAGGGCTTGCTGGTGGGCAGACCCTGGGGTGTCGGGTTGGTAGGCTTACCGGATGTTATGTATCTCCTTCTCTTCCAGCCCCACTTTCTTCTTCCTCATTGTGGGCTTAGATTCAGTCTCGGGCTAAGAATCTCCAAACCAAGTGGTACTGTCTTGGGGCTGGGTGGAAATAGACTCAAAGTCCCAGGCAGCGCTTGTGGTAAAGAACCTGCCTGCAAATGAAGGTGACCTAAGAGATGTGGGTTTGATCCCTGGGTTGGGAAGATTCCCCTGGAGGAGGAAATGGCAACCCACTCCAGTCTTCTTGCCTAGAGAATCCCATGGACAGAGGAGCCTGGCGGCCTACAGTCCATAGGGTTGCAAAGAGTCGGCCACGACTGAAGCGACTTAGCACGCACGCACTGACACTTAATAAAAAAAAAAGAAATCTCTTGCTGTCCAGGGCATTCCCTGAAGGGCCATGGGTGCCTTGAGAAGGTGTGACCGTGGCCTGGAGGAGGATGAAGGATGCTACTCTCAGAGGCCAGGGGTCCCACCCCACCGCACCCTGCAGCCCTCTGGCAAGCCCTGCCCTCCGCCTCTGAGTCCCCCTCTGCCAACGGGGAGGGCCCACAGTGGCTATCGGTCATTCACAAGTGTCCCTAGAAGTCACACACCCTGCTGGTTCTTCCCCAGAGTGTTTGCCTGGGAAGAGGGTCCAGTTTTTCTTTGATTCTCAAAGATTCAGAATCCAGAAAGTCTTTTTTTTAAAAAAAAAAAAAAGCAAGCAAACAAAAAAACTGTTCTAGCATTAAAATCCTCCAAAACCGAAGACCGTCTTGCCTGACAAATGCTTGTCAATTGCTGTGAGGTCACGATTCCCAGCATAAATCCTCAGAGGCTAGAGGTCACGGCAGTCCTTGAGGAGGGGAACTCTGCCAGCGGGTGTGGGTTGACTGACTCGTGGCCGCCTGGTTTCCTCCCCATGTCTCCGGCCACCAGGCTGTTCACTGTGACATGCCTTGCAGGCCTCGGGTCCCCTTCTGCAGGTGAGCAAAGCAAGGCCAGAGAAGGGAAGCGACTGCACAAGTGAACCAGCTGTGAAATAGATTTCGAGCTGAAAAAGGATGTTATTGGCTCCCCATTAGACCACCTAGAGGTGGGCTTCCCCCGCCCCTCCGAGATCCTTAGTCGGTGTGAGTTTCTGACTACAAGCCTCTCACCACCCGGCTTTGTTCTCAGGCCACCATGGGGCCCGAGGCAAGCTGTGACCTCTGCCTTCTCACTCCCTCCTTCCAGTGGAGGAGATAGCATCATCACGTTTTTCCCACAGCTGGGGCAGATATGGCTTTGTGGCTGTCTCCTGGGCTTACCAATGGCCACCTAAGCAAATCCAGCCAGCCACTGTGGCCAGGATTAACACACCATTGCCTTAAACCAGGGGGGCCCATACCCAGGGTTAACGGTGGCCGAGACCTGGACAATAGTGTTTCCACGGGGGTTTGGCCATCAGCCGGAGGATGAGAAGCACCCACAAGGGGAGGCTGTCTCTGTGGCCCAGCATACCAGCCCAGGCTCTGCCCATCCCACAGACAGAGCTCCTTGGAGACTAGCCCTGGGCAAGGGTTAGAGGCATTCCTGCTGCCGTGGTCAGTGCTGAGCCTGAAGCTAAACAGGCCAAGCTAATGAGGGAGAAAGACGTCAGCAACACCCCAGCCTTCTGGCTCCCCGAAACCAGTGCTCTCTGGTGCTGGAGCAAAACCTACGCCTGCAGCCATATCCCCTGGAGCCTCTGGCCTCACCCTCGGGAAGGGGAAGAAAGGAGGGAGGAAGGGTAGTGATCTGGGGTAGAGAAGAAAGTTCTTGAGCGGATGCGTTTGGGAACCCCAGCTTCATCAGGTATTGTCCAGAAGACCACCTGGGCTGGGCTTAGTGGGAGAAGCCAGATCTAAGGAAATAGGATGTAAAAGGGAGAAGCCAGGTGACAAGGGATGGGCAGGTGATTCCTATGGTGTGTGGGGTGGGGCGCAGGTTCAGAGGAGACCCCCCCCCCCCAGGCTCGGCTGTGGCCAGAAGGGCCAGCGAGAGGCCAAACCTACCTCGATGCAAACTGGGCCTCTGGGTCCAAGGCGGAATAGAATCACAGAGAATGCTGAGAACTGTGATGTTAGCTTTAACTGTTTTCTTCAAGGCAGCCTGAACCCAAAGAAAAAGTGGAGAACTGAAAACAGCTCGCCCTCCCTCACGTGGTTGTGGTCGGAAGTGCTTTCTGCAGGAAGCCGTCAGGACCGGCAACTGTTCTGGCCCCTCCAAAGAGGCGGGGGCTGTCACTGCGTCCATCAGGGATATCTGGTCTGTGGCAGGGCTGGCCACAGGCCCTTGGCTGGTCATCCTCTTGTGGGGTCTGGGCTAATGTGTTTTGAGCGCCCCCTGGGGGCTGTGGGGGGTACAGGACACCTCTGCACAGAAGAGGGTGAGGAACAGCTGCCAGGCAAGGTGGCACCTCACAGTCTGTCCTTACCCAAAGCAATGCATTTCCTCCAAGCCTGCCTCCAGCCTCCCGTTTCCCTGCCAGCCCACCGGAGATCTGTACTTATATTGAACTTGACCCTGTTGCTCAGCTTCTGATCTGCCATCGTCGCCCACCCACCCAAGATCCTGGTCCAGACACCAGCTTTAATCCGGGTCTGTGTCAGGAGCCCCCACTGGGCCCGAGTAGCATGGACGTGGTGCACCATCGCACTAGCCCTTAACCCAGTTTGTGTCAAAGCCAAAGTTCCCTGAGCACTATTCCGCTCTTTGCAGTCCTGTTGGTGGGTTCATTGGTGGTGGTTTAAAGTCCGCTTTCTTCGTCTGCCCCTCCTTGCCTGGCTCCCATGTTTTGCAGCTGAGTGTTCATCTGGATGCTTTTTTGAATGAAGTTGGCAAGAGTCTGCCTTCCACAGCCTCTGCTCTATTTTTTATTTTTAATTTATTGTTGACTATTTCCAATGATCCAAATCAAAATGAATAAAAGAGAGCTATTTTATCGTTCAGGTGTGTCTGTCGTTTTTCTGTAAGGGCCGTGTCTTGGTGCGGCCTCTCAAAGTCTCCACGCGAGAGACGCTTTGAATCTTAAAAGACACCTCCGGGGTTAGTGTCCACCCTGACCAGCTACCCAGGGGCTCAGGACACGGAGAGCTAACCTCTCCTCAGACGCAACTGTGCCTTCTCCCTGCTGTGTGACTAACGCCAGTCACCCAAGCTCTCTGAACCTCATGTATCCAATGGGCACCACTGCAGGAGCCGTCAGATGGGGTGTAAGGTCTAGAATGAATGCATCCTAGGAGGCTGGAGCGGACACATGCCCACTCAGTGCACTGAGCATTTGCTGAATGAATTAGTCTCGTGTGGGCAGTTAGTGTCCCTCCTTCCCAAGGAGACGGGCACATCCATGTATGGGTCCAAGTATGATACAGAGTTGGCACAAATCTCCCAGTTTTTAGAGTAATTCCAGCAATCCAGTCACGGGACTACAGAATGGAAAGCTGGTGTAAATAATACTACTTCCCAGTTGGTGCAGCACTTTGCAGTTTGCACACCTCCTCCCTGGGGGTGGTCTTGACTTTCTCAACAGCCTGCAGGGCTGGCGAATGGCTGCAGGCAGTTGAGGGCAGAGGGGACGTTCAGACCAAGACTTCCTTCCCTCTCCAGCTCTGGGGCTCCTGTTCTCTTCAGTGACAGCTCCCCAGGCTCTTGACAAGTTTGTGGTGTCCTGATGTCAGCTCTCGGAGGCAGGGCGGTGCAGAGAGTAACACGGGCGCTCGGGAGTCAGGCTGCCTGGGGTCCTGCATTAGCTGTGTGAGCGTGAGCAAGTTGCTTAACCTCTCTGCGTATATTTCCTTATGAACAAAGCTGGGATGGGGCTTCCCAGGTGGTGCTAGTGGTGAAGAATCTGCCTGCCATTCAGGAGATGCAAGAAACTTGGGTTTGATCCCTGGATCAGGAAGATCCCCTGGTGGAGGAAATGGTCACCCACTCCAGATTCTTGGCTGGGAAATTCCATGGACAGAGGAACCTGGCAGACTACAGGCTGTATGTGACCATGGGGTCACGAAGAGTCGGACAAGAATCAGAGACCAAACAGCGTTGGAGTGTTGGAGTCACACCCATGTAAATATGTGAGTGAAAGTGAAAGTGAAGTCGCTCAGTCGTGTCCGACTCTTTGTGACCCTACAGACTATGGACCGCCAGGGTCTGCTGTCCATGGGATTCTCCAGGCAAAAATACTGGAGTGGGTTGCCATTCCCTTCTCCAAGGGATCTTCCAGACCCAGGGATGGAACCCAGGTCTCCCGCATGGCAGAGAGATTCTTTACAATCTGAGCCACCCGGGAAGCTGTAAGCATGTATTGAGAGTTAAATGAATTATGCCATATCTGGGCCCTGCTCTTATCAATTATTGGCTGAAAAAATTACTGACCCTCCATCAGAGACCAATCTTCCCCTAGATTTGTTCCTGGTCGGTGTCACATTAGACCTCTGCAGAAGGGAATGGCTACCCACTCCAGTATTCTTGCCTGGAGGCTTCCAAGGACAGAGGAGTCTGGCAGAGCTACAGTCCACAGGGTCGCAAAGAGGCAGACTCAACTGAGCGACCAACACGCCCACAGTATCCATACTGTGGAATAGATGGGATAGCCTTCTAGCTCAGTAGAGCTGTAATGTGGACAGGCGGCCACAAGGTGGCGACACACGAAGTCAGGCCTCACCGGATGAGCTCAGCGCCCCCTTGACCCAGGCGGGAGCTGCCGGCAGGGGATGGAATCAGCCAGGATCCTCCACAGGTGGCCCCGAGGATGCAAAGGCATTTCTTTGGGACCCTTCAGGCACCCGCTGGGTACAAGCCAAAGCCAGCTTGCTCTGCACCGCTGACCCTTCCCACAAACGCCGGCCCCCCAGGATTTGGCTGTGGGGCCACCGACAAAATACAGCCAGCAACACCCTTCAGGCTGCTCCAAACACATGCTCGACTGTTCCACAAAGGGTTAACGGAATAAGAAAAGAAGAACACAATTTTCCCATTTGCAGCAACATGGATGTACTTGGAGGGCGTGATGCTGAGCGAAATAAGTCACACAGAGATAAATACTGCATGGCACCACTCACAGTGGAATCTAAAAAACACAGCAAGCTAGGGAATATAACAAAAAGAAGCGGAACAAACCAGTGGCTAGTGCAAGGGAGTGGGGCGAGGGCTATATAGGCTGGAAAAGTAGGAGGCGCAAACTACTGGGTGAAGACAGGCTCAGGAATATATTGCACAACATGAGGAATACAGATACTATCTTGTAATAACTGTAAATGGAAAGTAACCTCTAAAAATTGCATAAAAGTTTTCTTAACATTTAAAAAATAATGAAAAATTTTGAAAGTAGGTAAAAACAAGCCAACCAAAAGAGAAGGTGGGCTTCTAATTTCTTTTTACTTTCTATCATAAAGATCTGCACACATACACAAGGATTGACAGGAGAGAGTGTGTGAGCATCAGTGTTTCCTACATCCCCCACCTCCTTTTTTCTTTCTCTTCCTTATTCACTGTCACTGTTCATGACCCCCTGTATTTAGGGATTCACCTCAGGCTTAGCTCTGTCCTTGCGCGTGACCGAGTGGGTTTCTTGGAATGTGCCCGTCACATCCGTCTGCCATGTCACTCGCCAAGCAGAGGTGTCCCTGGCCCTCTGGCGCCCCGTCCTCCAGTTGCCTTTGGAAGATGTTTTGTTTACACCAGGACTCACTAAAGTCAAGTCACAAAGTCTATCCCTTCCTAACAGAGGAGGTCGTGTGAGGTCCAGGAAGCTTGAGAAGAAAGCCCCGCCCTGGTCTGTGGGTCCCTCTGTGTCCACTGGGGAAGGGCCGGCCTCTCCTTCTGCTTTGTTCACTGACTCAGCACTCACCAAACACCGCCGGGGCTCAGGCACTGGCAGCCCTCCCTCAACAGCATCCGTCCACGGGACAAGGATGATGGTGCATTTTCCCCGCTCACCCCCTCCCTTTAACACCCACCACTGGGCCTCTCCAAACTTTAGAGCTCTGGAGGACACAGTGATGTTCCTTCCGCATGTCAGAGTCACAGCCCTTTGGTCATCTTCAACTGAAACATCAGGTCCTCATTGGAATCAGCAAATTCCAGGTAATCTGCTTCTCAGAGACACTGGGCGCCTTGCCACGCTTCTATTTGTGAACATAGGGAAGGATTCAGAGACTGGCTGTGCAATTCCAGTCCCACTGCTATGACCTGAATTGTCTTCCCCAAAACCCACATGTTGAAGCCTTCACCCCAGTGTGATGGTATTCAGAAACAAAGCCTTTGGGAGGTGATTGGGTTCATTCCAGGTCATGAGGGTGGGGCCACATAGTGGGATTAGTGCCCTTATAAGAAGAGACATGCCTTCAAAGATGTCTCAGTGGTAAAAAATCTGCCTGCCAATGCAGGACACATGGGTTCAATCCCTGGGTCAGAAAGATACGCTGGAGAAAGAAATGGTGACCCACTCCAATATTCTTGTCTGGACAGAGAATTCCATGGACAGAGAAGCCTGGTGGGCTACAGTTTATGGGGCTGCAAAGAGTCAGACACAACTTAGCGACTGAACATCAGCAACAACAAAAAAGAGACATAGAAGGAAGGCAGCCCAGCAAAAGCACATCCCCACTGGACCCGAGGGAGCTTATCCCCCGTCCAGCCTCTCCCCCATCTCCAGACCTCCACAGGGCTCACTGTGCAGCCTGTCATGGCTGCTGCAGGTGGGATGCTGCAGTCAGGGGTGGAAAAGTCAGTTCAACTGGACGAAACAAATAAGGAAACTGCATGTTTTGCTCCAATTCAAAGCCACATTCTCCAGTTCAGCTTGACTCGAAGTACAGCAAGCAAGGGATTTTGACTGGCTCCTTAAGCAATCTCTCCATAAGTCCAGAGCCCGGGACAGAAAGGTGGGCTTGAAGCACTAAGACCTCAGCCACTTGGAATCAGAGACCTGGGCCTTGTCAGGCTCTGGACCATGGAGGCCATGGATCTGGGTGGAAGCCTGCAAGCCAAGGGAGCAGATTGGTAAGAAACACACATCATCGATTTGCTGTCTGCCACGAATGGGGGAGAGGCTGCAGCAGGATGGTGGGTACCAGTGACAGGAAAAGGAGAAGGTGCCATGTGGCACCGGCAGCAAAGGAAAGTTTGGGGAGTGGGGGTGTGTGAAGTCCAGAACCATCAACGAAGCCAACAGAGATGTGGTCCTCACCCTGGAAGCTGCTGCTGGGAGCTGGACGAGAGCAGCCACAGGCTGGGGTGGTGGCAGCATCCTCAGAGCCTCCAGGCACTTCCCACGAGTCAGGGAACAAGCCAGCTTCTTTGCAGGGCTGGGGGTCCGTCTGGGTGCCACACACCTGGCACACTCCCTGGCAAGCGGAGGACCACAGCAGGGGGTCCTGATAACCATCAGTTCAGAGCATCCTTTCTCCAGTCCCGGAGAAGCGGTGCTTGCATATAACCTATTACTGCAGACAGTCGAGTGCCCTGAGGGTGCCTTCCACCCCACAACAATGTGCAAGCTCAGCTTCTTGTGGGAAGGACCAACCAGCTCTGAGAACTCCTTCCTCTCCAAGTTTTAAAACATTTGGACAGGCTTTCTCAAAACTTTGTCCAAAACAGGGAGCTAGAATTGGTATAGATTTGTGGACTGCTGGAAGATTCCTTTCCTTTTTAAGTCCTCCAAGAAGGATCCTTGGCTCAATCACAGGCACCCACGGGTCCTGGGTGTCAAAGACCTGGATCAGACAGGGACCTTTTCTGTAAAGTGGGAACTGTGATTCCTGATGTTAGGTATGTGTGTGTTAGTCACGCAGTTGTGACGGACTCTGTGGCCCTATGGACCATAGCCTTCCAGGTTCCTCTGTCCATGAGATTCTCTAGGCAAGAATACTGGGGTGGGTTGCCATGCTCTCCTCCAGGGGATCTTCCCGGCTCAGGAATTGGACCCACATCTCTGATGTCTCTTG